TGCCTGTACAGAGCCCCCTTTGCTGAGCAGCTCTGGGTAGGACTGAGTAGCACTGGCTAGACGGAGCTGTGCTGGGCACCCCGGAGGCTTCTCCTATCATCCCGCCTGCCCTGCCCCAACAAGTCCCTGGCCCCAGAGCTGCTGCCCGTCCACAGTCCTCCAAGCCCAGTGAAGACAGTAAGTGCAAGAAAGGCTCGCTGGTCTGGCCCGAGCCCACCCTCATGTTTCTGGACTGTGAATCCCGAGCACAGGGCTGAGCGGCCTCTCTGGACGTGGGGAACCTCACCTGGTCCGGGAGACAGATGCTTGCTGGGTGGGGATAAGCAAGTGGTCCCTGAGCTGAACCGCCAGCCAGGGGCCACTGCCTCAGACTCCACTTCTCAGCCACACCAAGTCCCCATCAAGCCGTGTGCGTCCACACTCCCAACACCTTGGTCTGTTCATCATCCTCGCTGGCTGCCTGGAGTCCCCACCAGGATGTCCGCGCCCAGCCAGCCCTCCTGTGCCACCTGCCTGTCTCTGAGGCCCTCCCTAGCTGCTGCCCAGCTGGTGAGAGAGTAGGTCATCGTCCCCTCTGGGCCTCAGTGTCCTGGTATGGTAACAGCACCTACCCCACACATTTGTTGTGAGTTAAACAAGCCAAGACACAGCGCTGGCCCAGCACTACAGAATTGTCTTTGTCACTGTCCCGGGAAATGGGTAACATTCCATCTGTACTCCTCAGGCTCCGGAAGGGCAGAGCCCTCCCCATCTCACTCTGTGGTGCCCAGGGGCCTGTGCAGCCTGCACAGCTCTGTTCAAAAGCTTCTAAGGTGAGCGGAGCAGCTCTCCACCAGCACTCCCGGCTGGGCGCTCCCTGCTGCTGTCTGCAAGCCCAGGTCAGGAGGAGCCTGAATTCCTCCCTCACCTGGTGCCCAGGGTTGGGTCTCCCACAGTGCCAGGTCTGACCAAAGCCCAGGTCTGGCCTTCCCGGGAAGACTGCGACTCCTGACATTGCGCATGCCCCGCCCTGCACCTCTCACGGGGCCCTCCCCAAGCTCTCCAGCCCCCAGGCTAGAGGGACAGGCCAGGACAACCCCCATCTCCGGCAGCGGCAGCGGCTAGGTCCTGGGCAAAGTCTGGGAGGAGCCTTGAAGGGGGCTGCAGAGGGCGGGAGGGGAGGGGGATTCTGCTCTTAGGTCCCAGCGAGCGCCCCGCCCCCCCCTCCCGCGGTCACAGCCCTCTCCCGGCAAACTTTAGTCCTGTAAGTCAAACTCCTCTTGGGAGAATTCTGCCCCCAGAGGATCCCTGTGAACTGCTGGGTCCAACCCTGGGGAGTGTCATGGGGCTAGAGAGGAGCTCGGCAAAGGGGTCCCCAAACACGTGACCTGCTTCTCGCCAGCGCCCTGACTCCTGCCTCCGCCGGACGGCTCACAGAAAGCAATTCCGTGCCCGCCGGCTGCCGTGGGCATTGAGAGTTCCCGCGCGGGGCTCAGCGTCCCGGGCAGGACGCGTCCTGGCAGGTGGGGCCGCCGGTGGGGCCTGGCGGCTGCCAACCCGGCCTCCGCCCTTGTCCCCTAACGCCACCCCCACGGCCCCCAACGGCACCCTGGCCCGGGCCTGGAGGGGAGGGTCCCAGCACCTGCCCTGGGCCATGCGCTCAGGCTGGGGGCTGCGAGTGGGGACGCGGTCCCTGGGCGCTGGGTTTCGGGGGTGGGCGCCGCGCCCGTG